GATGGCCTTTGTTTGCCGGCAATGGGGCGGCTCAGTGAATACCGATCGAATAGTGCGTGGATGGTACGCGTACACACAGTGTCGCCTATCGTTTGTTTGTGTGTCGTCTCTCTCTCCCCCTCTCCCTTTTCTCCTCTCTCTCTCTCTCTCTCTCTCTCTCTCTCTCTCTCTCTCGCTCTCTCTCTGTGCTGTGTGTGTGTGTGGTGCGTGCTGTGCGCGTGGTGCGTGCGCTGGTGCGTGTTGCAAGTGCGTGCTGCGGTGCGTGTGGAGAGAGAGAAACTGATTCGAGAGAGACGAGAGGGAGAAAAGGAGAGAGAGAGAGAGAGAGAGGATGTGCTGTTGTGCGGTGTGTCGTTGTGTTTAAGCGGAGGTCGCGTGCGTGAGTATGTGCGTTGCGTAGCCGCGCGTGACCGTGTGTAAGCGTGTGTTTCGTGTTATCGGACAGGGCGGAATATACATGTGAGAGTGACACACATTCCAGAAGCATCACACAGCATGGGTGTACCGCTGCGAGCTCTCCACCGCTGGCAGCTGCTCGTCTCTCCAGCTCGCAAATGATTATGAATCCGTCGAGCGTGCGGGACAGTGTAAAATAATTACTCTCACATCACCCACGCACGCACGCACGCAGCAAGCACGCACGCACGGCGTGTAATAGAGCCGCGACTAATTTTTGGTAATCGCGTTATCTGGATTACTCACAATGGTGAACACCCACTTAAAATATAGCAATATGTGCATAATTAATGACTTAAATTAACTTGTTGATTGGTTAGAACTTAGGTTGTTGGATTCTATAGTGGTTCTTCATTATAGTTCTAAAACATGCAACAAAAACTGGGAAGGTGGATATAATTTATTTTATACATTAAAATGATTGCAGCTTGTTGCTCTTCTACGTGTACATAATATGTATATTATACACATATATGTAAATGAGCATATAGATATACATATACATGTACATGTACATATACATAATTATACATCTACATGTACATGTAAATATACATATACATGTACATATGCATATAAACATGTACATGTACATGTACATGTAGATATACATATACATGTACTTGTACATTAACATGTAAATGTACATATATATTATACATATACCTGAACATGTGCATATACAGGCACACGTACATATGGATATACATCTACATTAACAGTTACATAAAGATATACATATACATACATGTACATGTACATATAGATATAAATATACATGAACGTGTACATGTACATGTACATATAGATATACATATACACATGTACATGCATGTACATGTAAATATAGATATACATATGCATGTACATCAAGAGCTAATAATACCTCTTATTATTATAGTATGGTATTATTAGTATTATGGTATTATTAGCTCTTGATGTACATCGAGCCCCGTTAATCATGGACCATCAATGATTTTATTTCAATCCGCATGTAATCGGGTTCTGTTGGTGAAATCTCGTGTAATATTCGTCCTGATTGAACACAGCAGGGGCGGCTGGGAATGAGATCAGCGTGAAGCTCATCTCATCAGGGATCATTAGCTCGACAATATGGGAGGTGAGGACTCGTGGAGGATGCGACGTGGATGGAGTGTGTAATCGTGCCGCATTAATTTACCCACCTCTCACGCGCGCGTGCGTGCGTGCATGCGTGTGTGCGTGCGTGCGTGCGTGCGTGCGTGCATGCGTGCGTGCGTGTGTGTGTGTGTGCGCGCGCTTGTGCGTGCGTGCGCTTGTGCGCTTGTGCGTGCGTGCGCGTGCGTGTGTGCGCGTGTGCGCGTGTGTGTGCGTGCGTGTGCGTGCGTGTGTGTGCGCGTGTGTGCGTGTGTCTATTCTTAGTCTCTCAGCTCTCCGGATGCGCGTGTCGTGTTCGCGTTCACGTCACCTCCTCTAGTTCACATCGCCGTCTGTCCACGCACACACGTACGCACACACGCACACACACACGCACGCACGCACGCACGCACGCACACACGCGCACACTCTCTGTCACTCACCTGTAATATATGAGCTGTTTAAAATTTATACGACAACTTGTTTAATTTTTTTTTAATAAACGTTAGATTGGTCGAGAACGGAGTCCAATTTATCCAATTACCTAAACTTCATATTGCCGTAGTATTTTTTTGAATTCATTCATGAGAAGGTCTCAGCGCTGACTGTCTTGTGGTCGTGGATGAGCTTCAGTACTGACGTCACACGTACTTTACTACGCCTGTTTACGAAGCTAACATTGGTTATATATGGGCTTTGGTTAGCGAGCTATGGGCCCGCGATGCTGCGCGCTGGTGGCACGTATGCGACACTATGTGAGCAACTCATCTGCTCTGTTGGCAATTTTCCAAAGCGTATGGGAGAAAGAAATAGAGCTATACAAATCGAGAAAGCGAGGGAGAGAGAGAGAGGAGCTAACGAGAGAGTGGGCGAGAGAAACATAGAGTAAGGTGTTGTGCGATATACGAAGAGAGAGAGAGAGAGAGGGGGGATAGGAGAGGGAATGACAGCACATTCCTGAGAAGACACCTCGCGTAACAAAGAAAACTACTCACGTGGCAACGTGCGTCTGTCCTTTACCAATCGTCACATCGCTCTAAGCGTAGCTGAGCAGATATTTATGCGTAGCTTATCTGTATTTATTTTATCGTATGAAATCGCGCTCTCTCGCGGGCTGCAGCGACTAGATAGGAGCGCACTTCAAACATAGCTGTGTTTTCATATAATCATATAACGTGATTCATGCATTTAGATGTGAGCGTGTTTATAATTTAATAGCGCGTTTATAATGTGAGCGTGTTTAAATATGATGCGAGATTATATTCACGGTAGTACAGGGTAAAATCCACCGCGCACTCTCACTGCGGGCTGCGCTACACATAGCTAGTGGCCTCATAGAATGTTCGCATGTGAATGAAGGGAATGCACACCACAGCTACTGCTCTCTCTCTCTCTCTCTCTCTCTCTCTCTCTCCCGCGCGCTCTATCTCTCTCTCTCTCTCTCTCTCTCTCTCTCTCTCTCTCTCTC